GTTGGGATCGGTGAAGCCCGATGAATACTGAAAAATACTGAAAAAACCACCTACCAACTGCTGCGACATGAATTTGCCCAGTACGAAGCCCACCAATTTCAATCTTACCCCCACCCTTCCCAACCTCTTCCTTGGCCTTGGCCCAAATACTTGTGGGTCCGTCACTTCCTGGCTTTACTTGGGGATCATCAGGTCACTGTAGCCGCTTCGAAATTACATCAGACTCTGAGCCAAGTATCTTGAGTGCCTGAAACGGAGACCCAAAACCAACCAGAGACGTATGCCCGCGCGCCTTCAGGACGATGTCTGAGCCTCACCCGATTCAGGGCCCAGCGCCTGCGAAAGGAGGACAAAACTGAACAAAATCTCAGCCTGGGGATTAGAGCTTCCCAGTTTCCCAGCTCGTAGAAAAGAAGTTTTCTTGGGGTTGACTGTTGTTTTAGCGGGAACCCACCTCTGCCAAAAGCATCCAGAATCAGTGGTCGAAAGGAGCATGGATAGCCTGCAAACAAATGCATATATGGACTGCCTAAATTTTTGAGGCCACCCACCATGTGTTGCCTATTAATTTATATAGATTTATTCATTAGTTTGTTTGTTTGTTTCTTCCTTGGGGGGAGTCTCCCATTCTAACAACCGTCTTGCCTTGCCCCCAACCAACAAGGACAGACCATTTGGCCAACGAACACTTTCAGCACTGGGCCAATGATGGATGACTCTTCTTTGCTGAAGTTGTTGACGCCAAAGTTGGCCATCTCAAAGCCAATCGAGCTTAGGCCGAAGGCCCAATCCACTCTGATTAGACATAGGTCAGGAAAACAAATCAAATCGTGGCCTTAGCGCTGCTCGGACCCCTTGAAGCCTGTCCCCTTGAAGTTGTCCCTTTTTGGAAGGATTTTCACCTAACCTCTCCTGTGTTGCTCACAAAATCCCTGGCAGGGAAGAAAAAACCGTTTCCCCTAGGGGACGCCCTACCCCTTCGGCTGTAGCTCTCAAGACCCAGGTGCAACATCGGTCCGAAATGGAAAACCAAACAGAACGTAAACGCAGCTTTGGCCCTGGGATGCCTTTGGCTCCGAGCAGGAGCCTGACACCCAACCCAGATTTGACCATGGTGAAACCAACAGCCAATCAAAAGGGAACTCAAGGGTGGAATCCACTCAACTGGGTCACTTCCATCTGCTTAAGCCCCTCGAAAACAAACACGACGACTACTTCCAGTATTCACAGATTCCTTTTATAAAACTTTAAGCAAACAGAAGGTCTACTGGGGCCTCAGGTTGGCTAGCCCCTGAAGAGCCCGGATCCCGGGCTTTGCAACCCGTGGAAAAACACAAGACTCGCCCAGCCCATGGAAAGACTCGCTTGCCAGGTTCATCCCACCCCATGAAACTGCTTAAGCAAAAGCTCCTGGTTTCCTTTCGAGGGAAGCTGACTTGGGTCCATGGTGTTGCTGGCTGGGTCTTGGGAGCCTCTTGTTTGCTCGCTTGCTCGTCTCTGAAACCCGGGAAGGTGCGTCGAATCGTCCACAACAAGCACACAAGGTAGGATCCCTCATGTCGCTCGCCCGCATGGTTCAAGGCGCCTCAGCGGTCGATTTCTCGCTCGCTCTCCCTGGAGAGCAATCCAACCGAAAGAAACATGGCTTTGAGCGGCAGGATGCGTGATTTTGGAAGCATCCAGGGTTGGAGACAGCATGAGATAATGTCAACCCCGAATCCAAGTAGAGCCTCGCGGGTATTTTTCAGGCGTCACTCAAAGGATAGGCAAGGACGCCCCAGTGAAGTGAAGCGACCAGGAGAGGATATAGTGCGGGGACTAAGCAATCAGAATAAGCTTGTGGGTGCTGTAGGAGCAAATCTTTGTTGATCCCTTGCAACAACTCCCCACAACGTTAAGACTGCCGGTGTGATATGTCATAAATCCTGTTCCTATTGGGCTCCTGCAAGGCCCTTCATCTCCGGCTGAGATCCAATGGCCTTAGCAATGCTGCCCAAATTCTTCCAAGAAGCAAAGGGGCGAAGTCTTCACAATCCTTAGGCCTGCCCCCCTTTAACATGGACAAAGCTAAGAAGCACCAAGCATCAAGCACAAACCAAGAATTAAGACAGATTGTAGGGAGCACTGGCTCGTTCCGCCCTTGTGCTCAAAGGAGTGGCCTGTCTGGTTAGGGTCCGCCGAATCAAACAGCTTGGTGCATGATGAGCATGCGGGCACCGCCAGGATCCCATAGCCGGGAAACATATACTAACGGCAACAAACCTGTGCTGGCAACTGAACAGCTGTAGCAAAGCACACGTGCAGGGTTCCCCGATTAAACGGCCACTGTCTTGAGAAACGGGGGTAGGTGCAACAGGTGCCACGGCTGAAGCTGCTTCAAAACAAACCTCTGGGTGTGTGCCTACATACTCCCCAAAGCCAAAATCAATAGTAGCTTCAGCACCCTCAGAACACACACACACACACACACGCTCATCACGCGCCCACACACCCACACACACACACACACACACGTGTTGAGGCAGGAGTTATCACAACAGGGTGATCTTCTCACGTGCAGTCCGCTGGAAAGTTGTGCACTTTGGCAACTCATAGCCTTTGATGTAGTACATTGGTTGGAGCGACATGGGGTCAAAAATAATGATGTCATTGCCGTCGCTCGCTTCAGAACAGGCCACCTTTTCTGCTTCGGTAGTGTTGCTTTCCCAACGCTGAACTGTCCGTAAACAGGGGAGCCCTGCAATTGATTGGCTTACATTAGGCTTCCCCTGAAACAAACAACCAAAAACCACACCAGGTGGGACCGACTAATTTTGGGACACGCCACTCAAAATCCATTGTCGTCAATCTATGTGAACCTCTAGCGTCGCAGCCATGCAGTTCTCCCAGTGAAACGCCCCGTCAAAATGTGGGACAACATGGGATTCCAGCCCATAGAAAAGCTCGGCTTGCGTCTGCTGCCATTGCCGCCAAGAGGGTCCTGCTTTTGACAGGTGCTCGCGCTGTGCCCGCGACCACGGATAATCAGGCCAACAGTCAAAGGATTGGGATGCTCTCTAGGGTGTACCCCAACTAATCAAAGGCCACTTAAGGGTACCCTTTTTTCTGTAGTCTATTTTAGTATGAGAACCCTCCCAACCAAAAAAGTTGGCCAAGAAGGGCCCTACTGAGGGACCTAGTTCATAGCTCTCCCTCCCAGAACTCCTCGCCTCTGGCGCGGCACTCCTGGAGCGCTTAGAACCGAGCTACACGCTGTGGATGCTTACGAAATCCAGAAATCGCACCTAAGAAACCATGGTTGAAACCATCGTTTCCTGGAATTTACGGGGGAATCCTCAGAAACCAGGGTTTCTTAGGTGGCGCAGAATGTGAGTGGGTGTCCGTTTGGGAAATAGATGGCACTCGTAGACTGGTTGTCAAGCAGGAATCGCAAACTATGCTCGACTAAAACAACCAAACTAGACACCTGTGTCCAGATTCCCGTGAATCTGGTCATGTTGCTATGGTTCCAGGTTCACAAATTGGACATAAAGCATCCCCCACTAACCAAATTACTACCAAATTGCTTTCTTGCCACACTGGCAATCAGGGAATTCCCAAGCAAGGGACCTTGATCATTGCCTGACCGCCTCCCATTTGACAATCGCAGCGAGGTGTTCTTCAGCACTCAGCTTGCTTTTGGGAGAGATGATCTCAGGCAGCTAGAGTTCGGTTTGTCGCGCCGAGCACGTTCAAGTCATTCCTGTTGCTTGCTGGTTCTCAGCAGGAAATGAGTTGGAATGACCCCTAGAGATCATCCCCCAGATGGTTTCCGCTGAGGGCATCCCACGGTTCGTTCCCAACACCCGGACTCGGTCATTCCCTACCTACTGAGCACCAGCAAGGCTTTTAAGATGATTGATTGACGGGTGCAAAGCATTGTCCCCATTTCGCCTTCGGGGAATCTCAGCCACAAACTCGCATGGCCGCTGGCTCAAGCAGGGTTCCTGAAAGGATGCAATTTGACAAGATTTAAACCAACTTTACGGGCTTCTAAGAAGACTTGTAGGTGTATCCTTTGAGGGCCCTGTTCAAGTTTGGCCAGAGAAACCTGTTCTGCATTGCCGCTTGGCTGCGAATTTGGAACTAACCAGCGTCCAAACCCGTGGCAATTCATAGTCGATATGCTTTCAGGTACCAGGCACTTCCTCCTGTCCGCCTAGCAGGCCTAAGAGAATTAGTCAGAGCCGGGTACAGGAAAAGTAAATCCTGAAGGGTGTCTAAACCTGATTTATCTTTGAAGCGTCGGGGAAAACCAAGCGAAAACTGGTACCTGTCGTGCCTTTGCAAGGTGCGTAACGCAATTGGTGAATCTTGTTGGTTTTAGAGTTTATCGAAAGAGTACCCTCCTACCCTCGTTGCCAAACCCAGCAGGTCCCTCAAAAGAGAACATGACAACCATACCAGGGTTTCTGTACATAGTTAAAAGTGATCTTTTGCCCAAACGTATTCGGTGTCAGGCCCTGCATACGACGGGCCTTGCTTGCATCAGGTTTTTTGACCACGCGGGCTATGTCTTCAGGAAGCAAACATCCACAGCAGCTCCTGTCTCTGAAGCCACACTTGCACCTGGCCGGTGTGATTCGGAAATCATTGGACAAGTCTATTCATAGGATCGCGGGTCTACCCCTGATTTTGGTTTCCAACCCAGACGCTACTTTTGTCGAGCAAGCCACATGCACTTCTAACAGTACTTCCCAAGTCTGGGATTGCTCGATTCGGAAAATCGCAAAAAAAACTCCCGAAGAAATGAATTGATTTTGAAGAGAACAATGGGTGAATGCAACCTCAACCAGCCCACCAGCCAGCCAGCCAATCGACCAACGAACTAACCAAAGAACCAACCAACACGCAAACCAACAAACCAAACACATCTGCGTTCCCAGAACTCCCAACCTCGCCCTCGGTGTCTGCCTTTAACCAGAGGCCCTACGCACGTCTTCTGCCAAAACGACGACATCTCAGAGGTGCCCTGTGGCCTGGCGCTTCAGCCACGTCTTGAAGTTCTTCAGCGTTCGCATGGAGGCCTCAGACGTCTCACGAGAGTTGGCCCAGACGTACGCG